ACATCATACACATCCCATTTTGTTATACAGCTTCAATAAATGTGATTATGTGAGGTATTGGATTATTCTGAACCATGTCGACTTCGGTTTACAACTCATCATCTCTAACTTTTTAAAATGTCTGATCTTCTTCACAGCGACCGTTCTCCCCAAATTTATCACTTTAAATATGATACCAACACCACATCAACAAAGTTTAGTTATGATAGTGATACTGCTATCATCAATCCAAGTTGATAACGCAGTTGAAAATATTAGTAAAAATATCTGAGTCAACTACGTACCACGTTTTTTAAATTTACAACTTAATCTTAAGAAACTTTTGAAATCACCGAAATATGTCAGTAATATATCATTGCGAATAGACATGCTTATTTTGGTTGTAATATAATAACTTTTAGATGAGATAAAATAAATATCAGTGATGTTACGACAATTTTAAATATTCAAAAATTTAATGTTCTGATAATATTATTATCTTCTAAAATAAAATAATAGAAAATATTTCGAAAATGTTTAATTGTGATCAAAATATAATTTGTATAAAAAACAATTTATTTTTTACATGTTTATTATTAATGATATAATTCAATTATAGGTATTATTATTATATTTATTATTATATATTATAATAAAAAACAATTAACTAACAATGTAATCGATCAATAATACCAAGTGATTCTTTCCTTTCTTTTCTTCAACAATCTTTTTGTATATCTGTATTATATTTATAATATTATAATATTATAAATATAAGCGCTTATACCTCTATAATTTGTTGTTAAGACTGTTATTTTATGCCGTATAAGCGCTATTGATTTATTTTATTAATTAATTATCATTATCTTCAGTCTTACTTTATGTATACAACAAAGAGGGACTTTTTTATAACAATAAAAAAGTCACAATGGCATGTTCACGGGTATATATTTTTCAATTACATTGTTCGCCGACTCGGTTCGAGCCGGCCTCTCTTACTTACATTCTAATGGATCAATACCTTTAACGTTTTTTTAAATAAAAGAAACAACCTTTGTTTTGTTAATTGTGATGCTTTATTAACCAAATGGGGATGCGCCTTTTTACCTTTTAATACAGATTAAATAATAAGATTGTTTCTTTGTTAATTTTGTTTCTCGTTTATTGTGGCGCATTCGGTATTATTGTATGTGACTTTTATTGTATTTTCTTTAGTCATTAGTTTTAATAATTGCACAATTAATTCATTAACTGTAGGCTACTTATCACATAAAAGGAAAGAATGTTTTCGATCATTGTAACTTTTTTGACATTGTTGATGTTGTTAATTTTAAATAGTGTCAGTTTTCATTCTGTTTGTTGTTTTTAATATTGCATGACATATATATTTAAGCATTTGAGATGTGAGCTTAAATTCTTTGACATTACCCATTTGGTTTAATATATACATGTTGAAGATAATAATGTAATCAACTCCATTTCATTGTTGTTTAATTGTTGTTTTTGATTATCAAATTCTAGCTTTATATACACTTTATTAATTCTATTTATAAATTTCGTGTTACCAACTGAATACACATTATTCTATTAATACAGTGTTGAAATACAAAAAAAAATTGGATCTTTGTGTGCCATCTCTTGACTTTTTCAAAATTTAATTGTGTATACAATAAATACCACTTGTTTTATTTTCATTTTTATTAAATAATAGCAAACAATAACCAAATAAAAATTGTGTCGGCAATGCTTCTATTTTAAAAAAAAATCAAAACAACGCTAATGTGTCTCTATTGTCATTGTTGTCCAAACATCAATAATGTGTGTTTATTTGAATAATAAAATCAACTCAATTTTACTTTTAAATAAAAGGTATTTTTTAAAATAAAAACATTATTTTATTATTTTTTCAAAATAAACACGTAATATTATATTCGGAAATAGTTCTATTGGTGGTATTGTAATTGTAAATGGGTGTTTTTTGTAATTATATTATCATAAAAAATTAATTATTTTTACTATGAAAAACCATATATAGAGTTTAGGTTTAAACAATTTAATGTTTTGTTAGTTTGTATTTTTAAATTTAAAAGAAACTGTTATTCAAAAAGTCATAAAAACAGAAAAGTGTCTATCAAACACAAAACAAAACAACATCGTTCAATTTATTCCAACCTTTTCATCAAGCAAAAAAATAATTATATTTTTAAACTAATTTTAACAATTATAATATACAATAACTTTGTTGTCCAAAAATTAACAAACAATAACAAATTATATAACTATAATAACATTTTCAATGTTTTTAATAAACCCAACAAATAAAGTTTCAAGATTGTTATTTTATTTTTAAATACAACAATTAAATTATTTATAAATCAAATTAAAGTAAATCTAAAAATAAATTGACAAATTATTTAAAAAAATTGGTGATTGAATTTTATTTTTAAAATATTGAATTTTAATTTGGTTCGTGCACTTCTATAATTGGTTGTGTCTAAGTTTCTTGAATTTTTTATTTTGATTTTTCCACATAACAACCAATATAATTATCTAATAAAATAATTATTTTAATTCTTTGTTTAACACTTTAATAAACCAATGTTTTTTAAAAAGAAAAATAAATGAAAAATGTCTGTTTATTTGTAAATTTTTTAATTGGAATAATTTAATGTACCCTAAACAAGTTATCAGTCAGTTTATTTTATCTTAAAACAATAAACAACCAAGTACTTAAATACTTAAAATTAAATTTAAATATTTTTTGGATAATATAATTATGTCTCGACCAATAAATATAACATATATTCAATTCATTTGATTATTAATAATATAAAATAGTCTTACAAACAAAAAACTATTACAATTACATTTTCCAACAAAAGAATTGAAGGGGAAAATCAAAACATCCTAATTATTCCTTTTAGAATTGTAAATAATTAATAATAGAATGTCCACTGGTTTCATTTTTCATTATTTCCATCTTTATTTGTTACTGACTTGTAATGATTTTTCAGAAAAATTTGTACATTGTTTGGAAAAATTTATGTACATTTAGAAATGAAAAAATAACATTAGAGTCTGTCTTTTAAAGTTATCTGGTGGACAAAAAATAGCTTCATTTTTGTCTAAACATCGGGCATTAGGTAAAATGTGAAAAAACCCGAAACAATTGGGATGGATTTTTGGGACTGCTCCCCGAATTATTCCATTTTTTATGGTCCAAAAGGCACCAGATAACTTTAAAAGACAGACTGTACTAAAACGAGATAATCATAAATATCAATTAAAAACGTTTCATATACAAAATTTGATGTTTGAAATTGTATCACAAAAGGCTGCAGTAGTAATGCTCGTGATGAAACAAGAATGATGATTAAATTACATCTTTCATAGTTATTGTCACTCCAAACCTTGGAAAAATAAAAAATATCAAAAAACAATTGTTGGTATGTTTTGAAAACAAAAGTGTCAACATTTCTTTATCACATGAAAATGGTTATGTGATAATAGAATATTAAAAACAGTGAAAGTGACATTAAATTTTGGTGATTGTATAATACACATCAAATAGTATATCATATCTAAAAAAACTCACAAAGCTTATTTTGATCATTGAAAACAAAATAAAAATAATAAATTAATATGTTGATGAATGTATAATAAGAAGTTGTTTTGTTTAATATGTCAAACCCAATAAAAACGATTAAAACGGTGATATAATTATTAGGACGAGGTATGGTCGTCTTTTTATGAAATTTTGTTCAAATCACACATAAATATATTATGCAAATATGCAAAATTAGTTCACAAACAAAATTTATGTTGCTGACTAGTATATTAGATATAAGAAAAAAAAGACGTTTTCAATAAAGAGGTAATAATTAAATTGTAATTATTTTTTTTATTTATAATTTGAAATGTGACATATTGGAACAGTAGATAATATTTTTTTTATATAAAATAGTGATTTTGCTTTCAAGTTCTACATACGAAATGATATTTGAGCGTAACTCAAAAAGCGACAAAACCTCTTTAAATAACTTAGTGTCTCTCTGAATTAAAGTTTCGTGCAAATTTCCTAAATATTGTGGAAATCGTCTCAAACAAGAAATTAAGATCCAAAACAAAGAAGCACTAATCTAAAAACTAATAATTGTTGATGAAAAACGTCAATAGTAAAACCATAATCATATAATTCACAAAATAATACTTTTATTATACTGAAAAAAATTTCGACGTCACACAAACTATAAAAAGAAGAATTATTTTTTACTACCAACAAGATGAGCAAATTCATTGGCGAACAAATCACCATCAAAAACAACTTTGGCAAGTACCTCTCAGCACAACCAAATGGAACTGTTATAGCTAACAGAGACTTGCCACAACAGTGGGAAACCTTTGAGATTGTAGAAGCTCCACAGAACAAAGTTGCTTTGAAGACTTGCCACGGCAAATATCTTTCGATCAATCCAAGAAATACATTAGAGGTATGCGCACCACACATCAAAGAATGGGAGTTCTTAGAAATCGTTAAGACCTCAGATAAGAAGTACACAATCAAGTCATATCACGGAAAGTACTTGTCTTCTGCTATGAACGGTGAACTTACAGCCGGTAAAATGATTGCTGCACAATCAGAGAAATTTGAGATCAAAACTATTGGCTCAAAGCCAAAGTCTAAAAAGTTTGCTGGAACGACCATCGCCATCAAATCTTTCCATGGAAAGTACCTCACTGCTACACCAGCCGGCGACATCAGTGCAACTGCACCACATCTCAAGGAATGGGAGAAGTTCCAAGTCAACATGGTACCAAACGATAAGACACAAGTCGGATTCAGAAATTGGCATGGAAAGTATGTCTCAGCCAACCCCAATGGGAAGATGGAGAAATGCTCAACTAATTTCAAAGGTTGGGAATGGTTCATCATAGAAAAGTCACCAGAAAAGAAGATGTATACCATCAAAACACCAACTGGAAAGTATTTGTCCGCTCAACCAAATGGCGTTTTGACTGCTGACAAAGCAATTGCTCAAAGCTGGGAGTGGTTCACAATTGAGAAGGCACTTTAACTCATTTTTTCATCATTGTTGTTTCAATTAATACATATAATAAAGTTTAATATTTGAATAGAAAGAAGTTTTATTATTATATAATATAATATAATATAATATAATATAATATAATATAATATAATATAATATAATATAATATAATATAATATAATATAATATAATATAATATAATATAATATAATATATAATAAAATATAATATTATATTATACAGAGGTTTCCAAAATAATTATTGCCGAAAATGTGGTATTATAACGTACGAATTTATAAGAGAAAATGAACATTTTGGTTATGAAATGGTGACGTGGGTAATTAGGATTGTGATTTTGAAAATTTCTGATATTATATAAGTGATTTATTTCTATACACTACAATATAGAAAAAAATATAATAAAAAACTTATATTTATAAGAATCAATAATTTATAAAAATTAATGGTTATTTGAATAGAAAAAATTAAATAGTAGATGAGTTAAATTAAAACCACATCCGAACTTAAAACTTTCTTTGGAAGATTCTCAACAAATTTTGTGTCAGGGTGTCCAATTGCGATCATCAAAAGAAGATCCTCATCGATATCTGTTTTACTTTCTTTATGAAGTGCATTTAACCACTTATCAGCAACAAGCGTGATAATACCAATTGGGACCGTAGCAAGACCAAGAATGGAAGCCGCCACTAATATGTTTTGTGCTGCAAACCCCGCATTGATCTCAGCATAACTTTTGTTTGACTTTTCAACAGTGATAATAATTGCTGATGGACAGTCATATGTTAGTATTGATTTGACACCCAATGAAGACATTCTTTCTGTATAAAGTGTTGGATTCAAATTGAAAATGGTATCTTGACACTCATCTGCTACTTTTGCGATGAACTCAGTGTCTAATATGTTAATACTTATTTTTTATTAAAATTATATTAAATATGTTAATACTTAATACCATTTTACACACAATGTTATTAATAACAATGGTGTTAAAATATCATAGAAATTAGATAATAAAAAACTTGTCAACACATAAAACCGAAGTGGCTGCATATTACGGGCAGTTGGAGCACTACGCCCAGCTAGTAATAAAGCATCCATATCCGTTTTACTCACAGGTTCTTTTGTAAATTTGCGGCACGTTCTTCTTTGGGTATGTTCCATTGTTTTTGAGTTGAAATTCAAATAGTTTAAGTCGAGCATTCTTATCAAATATTATATTAACAATTATACTATTTTATTAATAAATAATTGTGACTTTATTTTTAAATTATAATTTATTATAATTTTTTTAAACTTAAAATAACACTGAATTTTTTTACTTGCTGCATTTTTAACCTTACGAAGTGAAAACTGGATAATTTATATCCTTGATTTTTTGACTTAAAATAAGTCACTTTTTTATTTTTGTATTTGAACTAAAAAGATCTTAAATTAAGAACGGTGTGTCACAAACCAATTTATATAATGAAAAATTGATAAAAATCGAAGCGCTCTCATGAAAATTAATGTGTATGTCTCGTAACAGCAAGTATTGACTATTTTTAACACATGGAAAATAGGAAACATGGGTCTGTAAAGACCAGTAGTTTGCGCGAAAACTAATCGATTTTGTGTTTTGAATTTATTTTTAATTGTTCTAAAAATAAATATGATCTAGATAAATTTTATCCAGATTTCACCTTCCCACAAAAAAAGTTGATTCAGTTGACTTGCTAAGGTTAAAATAAATTATTTTTTTTTTACTATTTTTGCTTATGTAATAATATGCAAATTATAAACTTCTTAAAAATAGGAAAACAATCAAATAAACTTGAAAAATCCCGAATTTTTAAATTTTATTTTGTTCAATGTTATTTATGGTGTTTATTTAATTTATTTTATTATAATTAGTTTACAAAGAATACATTCAAATAAAACGTATATTTTTTATTTGAATCGAAAATCAATGATTTACATTATTATTACTTTTTAAAGAAACAGAAATTAATGGTTTTGATTTAGTTTAAAGATCACAGAAATTGTTTTAAAAAAAATTATTAAAGCTATAAATAACATTAAAATTATTATTAACTATAATATATTTGTTACCTTTTTGTAACTTAACAAAATACTAACTTTTTTTTTAAAAACACAACAAGTAAAAAAACTTTTATATTTATTTTACGTAAAAAAGCGGGTGAAAACGATCGAAATAATTTAGTAACATCAATGATTGGTTTATTATTATCTTTTTTTATTCAATTAATTTACTATAAAAAACCATTTTTTAATTATTTTCCCAATAAGCTTTACAAATTACCAAATACTATTTATTATAATTTATCAAACTACACCAAAAAGGATAATAATAACAATAAATGAGCAAATACAAATTAACTCTACCAACTATCATAATTTTCTTCTAGTTTTAGCTTCAAAAAAGAAAAAAAAATACATAAAAGCACCACATTTATAGCTAAAGGCATTGAAGGCGAAGGTTGTGGATATGTTCTCAAGTTAGAAATCCCGAGAAAATGTACTGGAACTGTAGGAACCCCAAGATAGAAAAACGGAACGAACAAAAAAAAAGACAAAACTTGAAAAGGCGTACAACGATGGAACCTAATGACAAGAAAAATCTTTTTCTAAACAAGGTGTTTGGCGAGATGAAAGTTGTCGAGGCATCCCCCATCAACATATCTGGGCCAAAACCCAAAAAGCCGGACACAGATACAACTACACTTGTCTTTTTTAATTTAGATACGGAAGGGTGGGGCGTCATCGACGCTTATCAACTCCAACAAAGTTTGTCTGGTCTCGACCGGAAGACGATGATAGCTCAACAGAAAATCAATTTACCCGAGTCACAAATCAAACATTTGCTCAGTCAGTCCTCCACCGAATTTTCAAGTCGAGTCCCACAAAAAGTCTTTCAAGAATTCCAACGACTTTTGCAGTCCAAATGTGATGAACTGAAAGCTATCGCAAACCCAAAAAACATATACGAACTCTACGCAGCTCAATTCGTCGGCGAGAATGACGTCCCAAACGATTTTTTATACTTCTCAAGTACTGATTTCGTCATCCAAAAGATCGTCGAAGAGACGGAACGCAAAGAACGATGTCCCGTCTTATTTCTAGAGGGGAACGATGATATGGCAAAGTACCTCAAAATGATCGAAAAAATGTTTTTTGGAAAGCGACACGTCATCAAGGAAAACACCGTGTATTACAACTCGGTCAATCCGGCTACCATCGACGACTTTTTTAAGACTACTAAGTGTAAGAAGTACTCAGAAGCTTTCAAACAAATCTCAGACGCACAAGCAGAAGGTCTTCAATCCGTTTCTTCAGAGATGTGTCAAGGGAACAACGAGAAAAGTTTAAAGGGGATGAATGAAGAGAATGACACTGATATGAAATTGGACGTTCGAATGGTCGATATAGTCGAACGGTCGAAACGAAGGAAAATCAACCCGAACATGTTTGACTTTTTTAACCCTGTATTTCAAACACCAAAGGTGCATAAAGACCTTGAGGACGTCCCTGTCCACGCAAAAGATGAAAGAAAGAATTTTGTGTTTGAATATATGTTAGTGGGCGAAGGACACGTCGAACAAATCACTTCGACGTTTTGTCTTGTCGATGTCACAAACAAAAGGAAGTTGTGTTCCGACTACTATGTAGAATTGAACAGAAATAAAGACACGATAGATGCATTCACACATATGAGTCCGGCACTGATTCGACTGTGGCCTGATGATATTCAGAACGATGAAATCTGGGGAGTTGTGCGATACTATAAAAACGCGGACGGCGATATCGACGGCGTGAGAGAATTATACGAGAAAGGACTTGAAGACAAGAAGGCGAAGAAGTATCGCGAGAAGATAGCGACGATGAAACTGGACTATAGCAAACAGCAACTTCTGTTTGTTGGACTGATCCCAATCGACAAGAAACAATTTGAGAAGAGAGGCCAACTTCTCAATTTCAAATTCTACAGAGAAGACGTTGAAAGTGAAAAGAAGTTGTTTGACTTGATTGAAGACATCAAAATGAAAAAGGCGAAAGAAGTTGTCTGCCACGTGTGGGTACCCACAATCAGTTATTCTCCGCTTGAAGAGTGGAAAGAGGCGACGGCGCGTTTGTTTGATGGAAAGGAGCGAAACAAAGAACTTGAAGAGGAACAAAAGGTGAAAGGCGACAAAGTTGTTGATATCCCAATACTCGAAGACCTTTGTGCAGTCGACAAACTCTGTGACATTAACAACCAATATGTCAATCGAATGATCGTTAGTCCTACTGAAGTGTTCCTTGGGAAGGAGAGAAAGAGGGCTGGAGTCATTGTTAAAGTTGCGTTAAGAGAATCTGATGGGAATGTCTCCGATGAAAGTCTTGACTTAAAAGTGTTCTACCCACAGAAGACTCTTATTAAGAAAGGAACAACTGAGATGCTCACGGGAGGCCATTCTTCATTCTCACACTCGAAAGTCGGGCAGTTCTTCACAGAGATGCGAATCGAGTTGCCATTCCCATTGAAGAAAACACATCATTTGCTTTTCTCGATTTTCGACGTGTCGGCAGAAGAAAGTGGAAACACCTCAAAACCACTGTATGCGGTGTATCCCCTGTTTAATGAACTGGAGAAAGACCCAATTGCTGCGAATGGACAGTTGTTACTTCTCAATGATTTGAATGGAGAGATCACTCTTCCGATTATGAAGAACCCAAATAAGAACTACTTGAGCCACCAGGACTTCATGGAATCGACGAAGACGTATCTTAAAGTCAAATTAAGTCTTTTTAGTACTATATACCCAACAAGCAGCGAGACATATAAATTCATCCAATTAATCAATAGATACACAAAGCTTGAAAACGTCTCAAAGAAGTCGGAGAACGACGACAAGACAATACGAATGCTCGAAGAGACGATTAAGGGGAGCTCTGCGAATCTCCCGGAGAGCGACTGTGTACATTTTCTTCCCGTTATCTTGAATGGATTGTTGGGAGTCACTTCAATTATATCAAACGCCGTGTTTGATATTGTGAACAAAGTCTCTTCGTATGAACTGAAACACTTTATGGCATGCAAGGAGATTGGTATTGAAGCTATTAGACACCCTGTTTTGTCTCGGTATTTACTCTATCACTGTGAGTGTAATTCTTCTTCGTTGTCTAATATGGTAATTAAAGTGAAGACGCAGCTTGTTAGTGTAAAACAAGAATCTTTTGTGTTTGGGTCAGTTTGGTTCTTCTTTGAAGTGATGACGCGGATTGTTGTGAGCATTTTGGATGCCTCTGGAAATTTAGTTGGCGATCGATCGAAGGGATTTACCGACGAGATACTCTCACGATTCAAAAAGTCGTTTTTACAGGCGTTTTATACTGCGTTTTCAGATACACTGAGACAAGCTGTGCTGAACAAAAATTTTAAGAACCTTGTCGAAGCCAATTTGGCATATGTCCAATTTTTGATGAAAATGTTCCGATTGATGGGAAGGAGTGAAGCACTTGTGATGTTGGAGTACCACATCATGCAACTGTCTTCGCCATATGTTGAGATGGAAGTTGGTCCGAAGAAGATGGAGATGAACTCCGAAGAGATGATCTTCTTAACACTTCTGAGACTTGATGCTGTCAATGAATTTTCGAAGTTTCCATATATTGACAAATTGTGTCTTCCAAACAAACTGAAGGTGACAAATATTGAAGATTTGGAAGACAATGTATTAGAAAAGTACTTACCGACGTGCTTTTTGTTACGACAATATCTCTTGTTAATACAGAAACCGTCGGACTTCTCTAAGATGGCAGTGATGTCGCTGATATCGTTTTTACAACGCCTTGACTTAAATATCAATTTACAGAGTGAAGATAAAAAGGGGATTTTATCTGATATGTTGATGCCACTGTTACTGAGATTGATCGACGAAGATGATTACTTCATTACTTGGGCGAATGCACAGAGCAGAACGAATAAAGGGAAAGGTCTTGAAGAAGTCGAACTACTTATGTTTGCTTGTTTGTATGTGTTCAAAATTATGGACGATGAGACGTTAAGGACGTGGCTTGAGAATGAAGTCCCGTCGCGATTGAAAATCATCACTAATATCATCAAACGAGCGATTATGATCTTGTCGCAGTACCCCCTTCCTATTTTACTTGATGTTGAAAATGTTGTAGAAAATGAAAGAAAGCGGATGTACGACACATTATCGAATGAACCGAGTCAACAAAATCAGACGAAGGAAACGTCCCAACATAAACGAATACGACGACCGAGTCAGGCGAAGGAAGACCAAGTGAAAGAGACGAAAGAAGTTAAAACGCATGTTATAGACATCGAATCGAAGAACCAGAAGTATTTGGACAAGGAGAAAGAAGAGAAGTTCTGGTTTTTGAAGAACAATATGATATTTGATTGTGTTATGGTGGCGATGGACGTCTTGGAAATGATATATGAAATAGCACGACAGATGGAAATAACAACGGAAAACATGGAGAATGTCGAGAACGACGAGGAAGGCCAAACGAAGAGTGCGTTGGTTGATGTTGAGAATGTGATCAATGAAGTGCTGTTTGATTGCCCGATGAATAGAAAGTATGCAGAACAGCTCTTTGCATTTGTGAGGAAGTTGTTGCTGAATCACTACAATTACATCTTCACACGCCGTGTCGACTTCTCGTTCAATCTTTTGAAAAACATTTTGAAGCTGTGTGGGAATGAAGACAACGTCATTTCTCATATGGCTATGCACAATTTGTATATATTCTCGAAGATCAATTTCTTGTGTGATATGGATCTGTCTCGGATATCCAATCACATTGTGTGTGCCCTTGGGCAGTTACAGAATTTGATGACAAACAAATTGAAGTTTGAAGACACGTTGGGCGACTTGGTGTTGTTGCCGGCGAAGGACTTTGGGTCGAGCAAAAAGTTGATAGAAATGTTAATTGCCCTTTACAAGGAGAAGGGTGTTTTAGATAGCAAATATCTGTTTAGAATACAACAACTGCAACTTGGAATTGATGCTGGAGAGAGCGAGTCCTTTTTACAATTTATGGCCGATGTGATTGATGCGCACAACCGTATTCTAGAACCATTTGTGGAAATGCCTGCTGATTTGGTCAATGGATATACGTCACTCAAAGAACAAATCACTGGGTTCTTCTCTTCGAAATTGCGAGTGAGAGGAATTGATGTCAAAAATGTGAAGAAACAGTTAGACTTGAAATATCGTGACTGTGTGTTTAAGAAGCCCCTCATAGAAAAGTGTGATGAAGCTCTTGGCAAGTTTGGGATGCTCATTAGAAACTTAAATGAGATTAACACGGTGTGGCAGAGAGATCAAACGGAAGCACTTGAACTTGAAAGCGTCTTTGGGCAACACACAAAAGACTCTGTTGAAACGTTGAAGTGGATCATTGAAAACGTTTTGCGGCCAATTACCGAAGGCGAAAGGAGTGAAGTGAAGAGCGAGGATTTAACGTTTGATTCCCTTTTGAGGCTTCGTGTTGAGCGAGAGAAAGACGAAGAACGAGTAACACAAGAAGTAGAGAGACGGAAAGTCTTGTTTAGTTCTTCTAAGGGCACAACAGGGCAAGAGAACCCGTATTTCCCAGTCAAAGATGAAGACTTTGAAGAGCTGTTGGACAGTGTGAAAAATTTGTTTAGTGAAAAGGTGAAATTGATAAAAACCACGACGGACGCATTTAAACGGTTTGAGACGAGTACAAAAGAGCTTGAAAACACGCGAGTGAATGTGATGAATGAGATTGAAGAAATGCATTCGATGAGCACGAAGAAATTGTATGACCAACCTTTGAACGACTCGTTTACCGAAAGCACGACATCGGACTTTTCAAGAATAATGGAGAGAGTGGAAGTGAGTGATTCTAAGGTATTTGGGCAGTTCAATTCTCTTGTGAAAATGACAAAACCTTGGTACCTCCGATTTGAGTATTGGAAGTTAATACTCCCGTTGACTCGTTCGATAGGAGAAATGGTGAATTCGATGATCAGAGTAGTCCAAGCGAATTCGAAGAGAATGAACTTTATGAGGGAGTGGCATAAACGTGAACGAGAACACGCGATATCGGCAGTGAGAGTGTTTGAATGGAGTAAAACAGTTGAGTTGTTAATGCGACAAAAGGATTGGTATCAGAACCAACACGTCTCTTGGTTGAGTAAAATAGCGGATGACTGTCTTACGGAAAAGCCTGATATTCTGAAGCTTCGGAAGGAGATGGCGGAACAATTACTTGGGATGGAATACTTGAAGTCGTCAGCTATGAGTGAACTCAAGAGGTTAAATCCACGGAAAAGAGGGACACGAAAAAGTATTGCGTTGGCTGAAGGAGAAACGTTTTCATTACAATCGACGAACATGAGTGTTGGTGCCCCACAAAACACGGGAAGACTCTCGACCGACTCTTCGCAGAGTGATGATGCCGAAACGGCCAATATGCTTGCTTCACTGAAACCGATTTGTTTTGATATTGTTGAGATTGATGACAACTTGGTGGACGTGTGTTTGGACAAAATCGAAGAGATGGCGACGAAGTTTAAAGAACAAAAAAGCATTGAAGAGAATTACGAAGAGAAACGGAAAGAGTACAACACGTTACAAATTGAGTTTGCTGAGAAGAAGGAAAGTTTGAAAGTGGATGATGAGAAGTTCTTTGCGAATGTGCAAGAACTGAAACAGAAGAGGAAGACGATAGTTGAAATGGAGAAAATGGAAATTCCCGAATTGAATGCGTATTGCGACTACCATACACTCACGAAGACGGTAACGAATAGCACGAAACAAATCAACGAAATGGTGTTGGAGTATTCGAAGAAGTCGACGAGCACGGACAAATCGGAAGAGAAGAAAGAAGAGAAAGATGTGAAGAAAGACGACGAGAAGGAGAACAAAGGAGTGTCTGATGAGGACCGGAAATACTTTTTGGACGAGAACGACTATTTCAAGGAAGAAGCGTTCTTGGACGTCAATCGGCACAAGCAACAGATCTTCGATAAGTGTGTGAAAGAGATGAATGAAGAGATGAAAAAGATGATGAACAAATTGGTTGAGTTGGATGAGTCAAACAAGGTGATTAAAGACCCGGACTTTATCATCTGGAAATTCTATGAGAGTACAAAGGACTATGAGAGCAATCCACGACTACACTTGACGTGGTTCAATAAAATGGCGGACAAGAACAAAGAGAATGGGAACGACGTTGAAGCTGGGATGTGTGAATTACATATGGTGCATTACATTTACAATCATATTGCGAACAGACAGATCGACTTGCCACAAAACTCATTAAAAGAAGTGTGTACGGACTTTTTGACAATGGACGAACCAAAGGAATTACAGGAGAACAACGACTGCTCATTTGAAACAATGGCGAACCACATCAAATTTGGTATTCAAGAGTTTGAGGCTGCTCAGTTGTACAATTACGCACTTGTGTTGTGTAATTTTGAGTTGCCGTTCTATGAGGAGACTGAGAACTACTCGAAACTTGCAAAGTGCCATGCGAAGATCAAAGAGCTGTACTCGAAAATGGACCAGAAGACTAACGCACCAGTGTATAGTGGGTACTTCTTTTTGCTTGAGTTTGTTGGAGCGCCGTTTGAAAGTATGCCAAACCCTCTTGGGTACATCTACAGGTCGGTGAAACCCCTTGATCAGTTCAAGGAAGAGTTACTGAAGATCTTTAAGCCGGAGAATCAAAGTATAGAGATCATCGACAAGAATGGGAAGATTAAAGACGAAACGAAGTGTTATATGAAAGTTACTTTGGTGTATCCAGTTGTCGACTCGGAACCTATAAGAGAGCCACAAACACTTCTGACGAACACTGCGAGTTTCATGTATGAAAAAGACACGGGAAGTAAAGCGCCATTGATGAAAAGAGAGAAAGAACGGTTCTTGCTCACTACCGAACTGTCAATGCCATGTGGAATGAAACGAGTGAAAGTCGTCAAGTCGGACAAGAACAGCTTGACCCCAATAATGAACGCGTCGGACGACTTGGAGATCCGGTTTGCGAAGTTGGCCAAAACGTTTTCGGACTATCAGAATCTGAAAAACAGTGGAAAGGACGACACGATACAATTGAACAAGATTCAGGAATGTATTGGGATGCTTCTTGAACCGAAACACAGCGAAAGTGTATATGAAATTATGGACGCGTTCTTGGGAGACCCAAGTTGTTACAAGAAATTGTATTCAGTTGATGAAGTGAATGCCTTGTACAGAACAATGCAACGTATTTGTGAATGTGTCGAAGGGAGTTTGGTTACACTTAAAAAGAAGAGGAACAATGAAGAGTGCAAGAAGTATACAAAACTGTTTGATCAATTCAAAAGCTTAATCACATCACTCGAAGAACCTATTTACACATTCGATGATGATGATAATTAATACCTTATTATTTTATTATATTTTTGATATTCTTTTTCTTTAGAGTGAACAAATTTTTTATTACAGTCATGCGAAAAAGCTGTCGCGTTTGGAAAAACCTGTCTCGGGTGGTAATGAACTATTCTAGTACTATAAACAAATGATCTGAAATAGAAAATGTTATTTGGAAATGCCGAATATTTTTATTCGATTTTTGTGAAATGACCCTGCAAATAAATCGAATAGAAGCTATACTGTATAGTAAGTAATTATAAATTTACTATAAAATATTTTTTCAAGACAGGTTTTTCCAAACGCGACAGCTTTTTCGCATGACTGTATATGTAAACATAATAAAACTAGACATAATATTTTTTTAATTAATCAAATTAATTAAATAACTATTTTGTATGATTTATTTAATTTACAACTATTTATGATTTTCTATTAGTTCGAAAAGTTAATATTTTTCATACGAAATTTCTAAAATTAATTTGAAATAGTTTGAGGTTTGATATGAACTGGAAAAGAAATTAACAATGGGAAAAACTCAAAAAAATAATGAACTATTTATAAACTTGATTTTTTATAAAAATTTAATTATTATTTTAAAGATTATTTATTAATAAATTATAGTTTTAATGTTATTCATTTGTTTTGTATTATTTTTATAATTATATTTTAAAAAACTAGTCAAAGTTATAAAAAGATAATATGATTTACTTTTAAGTTCCTATAAAAAGCTATAAAGATAAATCAAATTGATATATAGAATCAAATTAACTAATAATTATGACTTAGTCCAACAGTTTAAAACTATTAATTATTAAGAAATTAAAAAGAATAATTTGTAGTTTTTACCAAAATTCACAAAAAGTTAATAAAAAGAACGAAAAACATTTTTTAGAAGAAAATTTCAAAAAGACGTTTTACTAAAAAAAACACAAATAATAATTTTAAAAATTCCAATGAAAAACAACAAATCATTCGAGTCAATATATAACGAAAAACTGGAGGAAAATTGAAGATCTCAAAAACAAACAAACCGAACGATGATGTCCGAGTCTGGGGTTTTTGAGCGAATGGTTTTTAATAAATCGGACCACCTTTCAGTTTGTGGGATACATGAGGCACACAAGAAGAGTAAGGAGTATGAATACTTACCATCTCCTCCGATGATAAAAACTCCCCATTTAATATTGTGTTGTTGTTTAAATATAGGAATCGACCCCCCACTTAATGGATTAGTTAAACCAAATATATCATCTTCTATATATGGATGGATTAATGTTAAAGACCATAAGAAGCGTGAAATTGGATATGAAATATCAATTCAATTGGCAAACCAATACCAACGGTATTGTACACCTACTGTCTCAACAGAACCATTATGGGATCCAACTCCAGAAATAGTCAAAAAATCATGTCTAGCTGCGCGAGAACGATTTGGGAGAGATAGAGTGTTGTTTCACTATAACGGACATGGGGTGCCATTACCTACACTGAACCACGAGTGCTGGTTTTTTGATGAAAATATCACTACATATGTTCCGATGAATATTTCACATATCTACGATTGTTTGGGAGACAGAGCTGTATATGTCCTCGACTGTCCTTACTCACAAAGACTCTTCAAATGGTTCACAAAAAGAAATGAAAAACTGAAGAAAATGCAGAAGAAAGAAGCGGAGTATATCGTCTTCTCGGGATATGGCAATCTTCAAAAACCACAAACGAATCCAAACTACCCAATCGATATCTTCACAGCGTGTTTGACTACTCCACTCTCAATGTGTTTTTTGGACTATTACTACTCCAACGATAATATCATCTCTTTGCCTTCAAATTTCCTCAAAATCCTCCCCGTCGACCACAAAACAAAAATTCAACCATTTTCAGAGTTGTATGCTATTTTAACGAGTATCACAGAGGCTATTGCCTGGGACGTTTTAACTCCAGAAATGTTCTTGAAGTTGTTTCGACAAGACATCGCAGTCGCGTCACTATTTCGACACTTCATTTTAGCAACGCGAATTATGAAGAAGTTCAATTACACCCCACAAAGCTACCCGGCTCTACCAGACACTTCAAATCACCCCTTGTGGAGTTTGTGGGACTCGGTACTCGAACTTGCTATACCAAAGTTTGTGATGGTACAGAAAACAGTGAACTACGTGCCTTCCCCGTTCTTCAGTAATTTGATTGTTTCAATGAAGTCATGGCTTTTAACATATCCCGATAAACCATCAAACCCATGTCCACTTCCTATGTTATTCAGATTGTTTCTACGAAAAGACTATACCGTCGAGGTGTTTTCCATGTTGTGTGAATACGTCGATTTGGGGTACTTTGCATGCGAGAGAGTTGTGAATATCGGATTTATACCTCTCTTAGTGCAAAGTCTTGATAAAGAAGGTCTTCAGCAGTTTGGGGTGTTTTGCCTTGCGAAGCTGTTTTCATACGACTCGTCTAAAATAGGCCAATACCTCCATGGGTCGTTAGAGGCTCTGATGAAAATAGCAACAAAAGCTAAAGAAGCAAATGAATTGGTTTGCTCGTTGTTTTTACTTGCACAAGTCTTCTTGGACAAAAACATTGTAAACCAGTTGAATACCAAAAGTGTCGTCTACGACGCACTGTTTGCTATCTCACGAAATGACAATTCGATGGTGAAAATATGGGCGATTGTGTGCTTTGCACGACTTGTCGATCACGAGGGGGTGAAAAGTGATGTCTACAATTTGCCACAATTCCAGCCAATGTTGCAAGAATTGTCACAAGACGACTCTCCGTTGGTCAGAAGTGCTGTTGTGTATTTACTGATGTACTCAATACCAACACCACTCGCTGATAAGTCCAAAAAAATGTTAGATGAACTCCACCCGAAAGTATGTGAGTTGGCGAAAGACGCGTGTCCGACAGTTAGAAGTCTGTTAGTTGTCCTCATTTATCACGTATTTGTTATGGGACACCAAACATCGAAATATCAGGAAGTGTTATTCTATTTAAGCAATGATACCGACCCAGACGTTATCAGAGCGGCCGAAGGATTACTCTCGTTATGTGAAAAAAGTCGCATACAGAAACCATTTGGTCGGAAGACGATGACATCTCCTTTAGAGCAATTTGCAAAGGCAAGTTTGCGCATTTTTGATGACTTATTAGAACGGTTCTATTGCTCGGTAAGAGACGTTTTTCGACGACCGTTGTTGTTTAAAATAGTAAACGAAGAGAAGGACTCCCGGCAAGAATATTTCTTGAGTCAGACAAGAGCAGTCCAATCGGTTTCACGAATTAGTTATATGGAAATTCCAAATAAAATTCTAAAGGAAGAAACACGAATCACTTTTGGAACATCACTTCATGTCCCAAAGTGTGTGTTATATCACCCGACACTGCCGTGTGTACTTGCTGATATATCGAAAGACACTATTGGTGTCTTTGAATATAAGGTATCGCAGACTGAAACCAGTGACTTTTCAAATTATAATCCAATTAACACATCGGTAAAGTACTTGGACTGGCTTGATAAGAGTGACGCATATTTGGTTAGTGGGTGTGGCGATGGGTCTGTTCGTTTGTGGAATAATTGGGACTACAAGCCAAAGTTGATCACTTCATGGAGAGGCATCCCCAAACCCGTTGTTTCACAGGCGGTATTTTCTACGATGACGAATCACCGAGTCATCTCTGGGGATGGAGAGTCTGTTTTTGTGTGGGACGTTGAGAGTGAAAAATGCTTAGAAAATTATGAGATACCCAGTGGAGTGTCTTGTTTGAGTCAGTTTAGTGACAAGTCCTTTTTCTGTGGAGGTGTAAGTGGTGGTGTTTCGATAGTAGATATGCGGTGTAAAACAGTGAACGAGTGGAAAGATCAAAAGGAGCGAATTATTGATATTGGCTATTCAACGCGAGCCTACACCGTTGTCTCGACGAG